CTTCTAATGCAAAGCAGGTTTGCCATTTCAGCCCTGCCAGCCAGGGTGCTTAGGGCCCACATTTCCCTCAAGCAGGTTGCCACGGTGTCTTCCTGTACTGTACACGTATGTACAGTCCCCTCCCTAGGAAAAATACCAGTATCAGGACGATAGCATTTTCATCCAGATAATTGTGAGGCCAGCATCATTTTATGACCCTGACGTTCATCACATGACATTTGACATATTTTTCTTTCCTTTTTTTTTGAGACAGAGTTTCCCTCTTGTTGCCCAGGCTGGAGTGCAATGGCATGATCTCAGCTCACTGCAACTTTCGCCTCCTGGATTCAAGTGATTCTCCTGCCTCAGCCTCCCAAGTAGCTGGGATAACAGGTGCCCGCCACCACGCCCAGCTCATCTTTTGTATTTTTAGTAGACATAGTGTTTCACCAGGTTAGCCAGGCTGGTCTCAAACTCCTGACCTCAGGTGATCCATCCCCCTCAGTCTCCCAGAGGGCTGAGGCTACAGGTATGAGCCACCACACCCGGCCTGACATTCAACATCTTTTGGCTTGGGCTGAGATTCTGGAAATCCTCACTTACCTCAGAGTCAGCCTGTTGAACAGAGCCTCACCACCCACCCCAGAGGCCTTTGAGAGTAGAGCTGGACACGCTTCGAGACTCCCCTGACTAACTTGAGCCAAGGAAGCTCACAGATCTGGGAGCTTCTAGGTTCCTGCTGCAAATCTTAACATGTTAACTCAGTTCCTAAGGGCTGTTCTTTGTAGCAAGCCTGGTTTTCTGTGAAAAAGAATGAAGACTAAGCAGATAAAAGCAGAGAGGAGATGCAGAGAGAGGACCCTGGCAGCATGGACATCCTGGCTTCTGGGGGTTAGTGAGGCCCAATTCCATCCCTGCCTGTCCTCACAGGGGTTTGGTTTGGTTATTCACCTCTTCCTTGGAGCTCAAGAGGCCGGTGCATTCCAGCCTTTGCCTAAAGTGCTTCAAACTGTGCTTCCAGCCCTTGCAAACTAAAGAACCCTGATTCTCTCAGAGGTGCTCTCTCTGGCACTTCCCATTCCCTTGGCAAATCCAGCCTCCATTCCCAACTCAGCAAAGAACAAAGGGAATTCTGATGACAATTTTCTCTTAAAGTCTTCAATATTTTCCCTTTTGTTTTCTATTTCGAAAGTTAGGAGCAGAGTGATGAGTTCATTACATTCATTCCTTCCTCGTGGCCCATCATCACGATTTTCCACAAGGCCCCTGTATAATTTTACTTCTGTACCTATTTTTTGCTTGTTTGTTTTAATCCCAGTTGCCGCTCTCATTCCCATCCCCCTACAGAAAACCATTCCAATGTGCTTGACGTGCCTTCTTTAATGTGTAAATGACCTTGTTAGATTTGCTATGTGGCCTTCTGACATATACCTCTGTCAGAGGTGCTTGAACCAAAGCAACTAACTCCATCTTGAATAGGGTCTGGGTAAAGTGAGGCTGAGATCTACTGGGCTGCATTCCCAGGCGGCTGGGCATTCTTAGTCACAGCATGAGATAGGAGATCAGCACAAGACTCAAGTCATGAAGACCTTGCTGATAAAACAGGATGCAGTAAAGAAGCCAGCCAAAACCCACCAAAACCAAGATAGAGACAAAACTGACCACTGGTTGTCCTCGCTGCTCATTATATGCTAATATATTAGCATGTTAAAAGACACTCTCACCATTTATATGCCATCATAGTTTATAAATGCCATGGCAACGTCCAGAAGTTACGCTTATGGTCTAAAAAGAGGAGGAACCCTCAGCTCCAGGAATTGCCCACCTCTTTCCTAGAACACTCATGGATAATCCACCTCTTGTTTAACATATAGTCCAGAAATGACTATAAGTATACTCAGTCGAGCAGCCCATGCCACTGTTCTGCCTATGGAGTAACCATTCTTTCATTCCTTTGCTTTTTTTTTTTTTTTTTTTTCTGAATACAGAGTCTTACTCTGTTACCCAGGCTGGAGTGCAATGGCGCAATCTCAGCTCACTGCAAACTCTGCCTCCCGGGTTCAACCAATTCTCGTGCCTTAGACTCCTGAGTAGCTGGGATTACAAGCATGAGCCACCCCACCTAGCTAATTTTTATTAGAGATGGGGTTTTGCCATCTTGGCCAGGATGGTCTCAAACTCCTGACCTCGTGATCTGCCCACCTCAGCCTCCCAAAGTGCTGGGATTACAGGCATAAGCCACCACACCCAGCCATATATTAGCTATTTAAAAAATAAAACATAGAAAATAAAAATCTCCTTTATCCTTCAAGACTTGGTTCAAATGCCCAGTCCCCTGGGAGCCCTTCAATGGCCCAGACTGCTAGTGCCTCCTAACTCCCATTCTCCTCCTCTTTCATTCTAAGAATACTCCTGCATTCTGCAGCTTGGCATATTTTTTAAAAAAAAGAATACTCCATTTTTAGGCAATTGCAAGATTTCCAATAACTAGCTTAATGCTGTCCCAATAGTAGAGTGTGCATAAACTCCCTTGTGGTTAAACATGGTCAGGTAATTATGGTCTGGCCAATTAAATGTAAGTAGAAGCACTATATAGAACTCCTGGAGTGATTGTCAAGGGGAGGGGATGAAAACTCTTTTGCCCTTCCTTTAAGTTCATCTGTTTTAATTTTTTTTTTTTTTTTTTTTTGAGACAGAGTTTCTCTCTGTTACCCAGGCTAAAGTGCAGTGCCACGATCTTGGCTCACTTCAGCCTCCTCCTCCTGGGTTCAAGCAATTCCCATGCCTCAGCCTCCTGAATACCTGGGACTATAGGTGAACACCACCATGCCCAGCTAATTTTTATGTTTTGGTAGAGATGGGGGTTTCACCATTTTGGCCAGGCTGGTCTTGAACTCCTGACCTCATGTGATCCTCCCTCTTTGGCCTCTTAAAGTGTTGGGATTATAGCCATGAGCCACCATGCCCAGCCTCTTTAAGTTCATCTGTTTTAAGTCACTGTTATTTGGGGGTTTTCTGTTGCATGCAATCAGCCAAACCTAATCATAACTGATATGTTGGTCTAGTTATCTATTGCTGGATAAACAGAAGCTCCCAAAGGAACTATTCTGTCATACTCATTGATTCTGGGGATCAAGAGTTTTGACAGGACTTTGTGGGCATGGCTTGACTCTGCTCTGTGCTCTCATGGGCTCCAGCTGGGAAGACTTGATGGCTTAGTGTGACTCAAGCAGCTGGGGACTGTGATCATCTGGAGGGCTCTTCACTCACCTGTCTGGCACCTGGGATGAGATAACTAAAATACTGGGTTCAGTTGGCATTGCTGACATAAGCATCTACACATAGCTTCTCCACGTGACTCGCTCTTCCTTACAATATGGCAGTCTCAGGACAGTCAGACTTGTCAAAAGTGGCTCAGAGCTCCCTCTTCAAGTGTTCCAATGAACAAGATGGAAGTTGTTTGGCTTCTTCCTTATTTCCTTTTTCTCTGATATCCTCTACAATATTTTACCTTAGTGTTTGGCTTCTTCTGACCTCGTCTCAGAAGTCATGCAGCATCAACCTTGCCTCCACCTGCCCTGAGCCAGTTCTCTACACACCCAGCATCAGCATCAAGCAAGATGCACCTGGCAAAGTTGGAGCAGGCGTGGGCAGAGTGATGGTGGCCAGGATCCGGCAGGGGCTACTGCTTCTGGCAGTGCTCCTACCAATGCAGATTTATACAGCCCAAACAACTGTTGTAACACTTTTAAGTAACTTCTCCCAGAATAACTTGGCTGCTCCCAAGTCTAGCTAATGCCACCAGTAAGGCATTGGCAGTGTCCTGCAGTCAGCCAGTCTCCTCCCTCACTCCTCAGGGTCTCACTCTCTTCCATTTCTCTACTGTTAAAAGACTCAGACTGGGTGGGCACTGTGGCTCACGTCTGTAATCCCAGCACTCTGGGAGGCCGAGGCAGGTGAATAACCTGAGGTCAGAAGTTTGAGACCAGCCTGGCCAACAGCATGAAACCCCATATCTACTAAAAATACAAAAAATTAGCCGGGCATGGTGGTGCATGCCTATAATCCCAGCTACTTGGGAGGCTGAGGCAGAAGAATCACTTGAACCCAGGAGGTGGAGGTTGCAGTGAGCCAAGATTGCACCATTGCACTACAGCCTGGGAAACATGAGTGAAACACCCTCTCAAAAAATAAAATACGTCGGGGGCGGTGGCTCACGCCTGTAATCCCAGCACTTTGGGAGCCCGAGGTGGGTGGATCACGAGTTCAGGAGTTCAAGACCAGCCTAGCCAAGATGGTGAAACCCGGTCTCTACTAAAAATACGAAAAATAAATTAGCCTGGAATGGTGGCGTGCGCCTGTAATCCCAGATACTCGGAAGGCTAAGGCAGAGAATTGCCTGAACCCGGAAGGTGGAGGTTGCAGTGAGCTGAGATCGCGCCACTGCACTCCGGCCAGGGTAACAGAGCAAGACTCCAACTCAAAAATAAACAAATAAATAAAAATAAAATAAAAATTATTAAAATTAATTAATTAATAATAAAAGTGAAACACTCAGGCCAATACCGGCCACGGTTTCTCCCCGGCGCCCCCCCCCCCCCACACACACACACACACTGCACTAAAATGCAAGCTTCATGAATGCAAGGACGAACTTTTGCCTGTATTGTTCACCTGAGTGTCCCCAAAGCCTAGAACAGTTCTTGGCATACTGAGGGACACTCAATAAATATTTAAGGAGTGAATAAACAATTGGATACCCGATAAATGCATGTATGAATAAACACATTCTTAGTTATTCGGAATATGAGATTTGCGGAGAGTGGACAGCCTGGGACTGAGGAGACGGGCTAGGACTAGGAATGGGCATTCGGGTCGCATGCCCACTGCAGAGGTCCAGAGCCACTGTCCGGACGCCTCACAAGTTGCTTAGCAACCCGCCGCCCAGCCCTCGGCCACCACTAGAGGGCGAGCGGGCGGGGAGACGTGCACGCGCGCGCGCGTACGTGCAAGCGTGTGTGCGCGCGTGCGTGGCGCGGGCTTCGGAGGGAGCACGTCACTTCCTGTTACCTTAGGGGAACGTGGCTTTCCCCGCAGAGCCGGTGCCTTCGTCTGCGTCCCCGCTGCAGCAACCAGAGCTGGAGTCGGATCCCGAACGCACCCTCGCCATGGACTCGGCCATCAGCGATCCGCATAATGGCAGCGCCGAGGCAGGCGGCCCCACCAACGGCACGACGCGGCCTCCTTCCACGCCCGAGGGCATCGCGCTGGCCTACGGAAGCCTCCTGCTCATGGCGCTGCTGCCCATCTTCTTCGGCGCCCTGCGCTCAGTACGCTGCGCCCGCGGCAAGGTAGGGTCACCGGGAAAACCGGGCACTTTCCACCCCCATACTGAACACGGCCGACATGGACCCTTCCTTGGCAGGACGGACACCTCCTCTCCCCGGACACTGACCCTTCTCAGCCCTGATCACCACCGTTCCCTCCATCCCGGGCACACATTATGGGGCTGGCGTTTCCTGCGCACCGACCCCCGACCAGGGTATGACACCTTCCCTCCCTGTGCATCATGCCGCGACTGGGAACGCTGTCAGCCCGTCCCCCACTTTGACTCGGGCACTGACTGTTCTGAGCCCGTTGGGCCCAAGCAGACCAGCCCCATCTATACCTGATGGATAGTGGTCCCGACAGCTTCCTGAATGGTACAATCTCATGTCATCCCCGGTTAGGAACCCTGCCTCAGCCCACCCCAGGGCCCTTTCCATCATCCAGACCCATTCCTAGACTCTGACTCCTGTCTCACTGGAATATATGGCACCTTATGTGCTCACCTAGAGCCCTCACCCTTGGCCCTTGCCCCTGCCTCAAAAACAATGGTCTCTCAGCCCCCAGGTTCTCACATCACTTTCTGGAACCATCCCAGTCGGCTAGCTCCTCAGAACCTGGCATCTTGGTGCCTCTACTTTCCAACCAGGCATGGACGTCTTACTTTGCTGGTCTCCTCTCTCTCACTACCACCCAACCTTGGACATGGCCTAGTCGAAACCCAGACCTTGTTCCTAACCTGTAACCCTTTTCCCAGCCAGCCTTTGACCCTACCTCAAAGTGGCCTTTCTCCCCCACCCCCAAGACAACCCCCCCCACCACCAAACTGGGTCTGCCTACTGGGCCACTATTGGCCCCTCTTGTGAGACTGGGCTAGACTCCATCCCTGGCCTTCCTCAGCAGCTGTCCCATTGGATACCTAGAAGGACTCCAGCACATTTCACCTTCTGCTTCCTCTTCCCCCTTTGCCAGCCCACTTCTTCCCTATATGAAGCCCTCTCCAGCCGGTTGTACCAATGGCTTCTTTTAATCTGCAGCTCCCCATGCTCCTCCCCTACCCAGACCTGAAGATAAACCTCAGTGGAAGCTGTCTTGCCCAAAGAGGGCAGGCTGCCACTTTTGAAACTGCTCAAGCTGAGGTTCTCAAAATACTACCCAACTTGAGCAGTGGCTGAGGCCTGCCACCTTCCTTCCCTAAGAGCAGAGAGCTCACTCCTGGCTCTGTATGCGATCAGATGCAAAGGAAAGTAGTAGTCAGGCAGGACTTAGGCCGAGAGACTCAAACATGACTCCATGTTCCTTTTTATTTGGCTTTTTCTAAACAGAGTTCAGGTGATCGTAACCTTCTCTCCTATGCCTGTCAGGCAGACACTTAGTGCAGAGAGAAGTTCTAAGATAAACCAGGACAGAGGAGGCAAAGGACAGCTGCCGTAAGGCTAGGCAGCTTGACCTGAGCTGCTCTCCAAACTCACTAATTCTCCCTGGCACCTTTCGTATGAGGATCACGAATCTCTGCAGAAAACACCTTCCAGACAACAGTATTTCCTGAACTTCCACCACTATCAAGGGTAAGGGAGGATTCCTGCAAAGATGAGTAGGTCAGAGCCCTGTCACCAAGGAGTTCAGGAGTTGGGTGAAAGAAGAATAACTAGATCTGGGATTATAATACAAGCAGTGCTGCAGGGTTGCGGGAGAAAGACTGAGCACATCTGGGACAGTGCAGGAAGGCTTTGTGCTAGGGGTAGGCCTGAGCCTTGATGTACAGGTAGAATTTCAACCAGGAGAAGGCATTCTAAGCAGAAGGAACCAGGTAAGCAGAGAGAGGTACAGAGGCAGGAGGCTACAGGGCAGTTCAGGAAATAGTGGCAGGTCTGGTGTGGCTGAAACAGAAGGTAAGAGAAAGCCTTAGCCTCTGAATACCTCTTCCAGGCATCTCCTGCAGGGCATCAGGGTTTGGAGGACTGTATGAAATTATAAACAGGACCTGACCTTTAAGAGCCTGCCACCACCAATGAAGCAGATGCTGTAAAACTTGCAAAAACCTTTAGGCCTTTGATGCTCACAGCAACTGAGGTGGCAGGCAGAGCCAGTTTCATTATCCTCATTGTACAGAAAAAGAAACAGAGTGAAAGAAATGACTTCTGAAGATCACTCTGCCATTTAGGGGCAGAACCAGGTATGCCTAGTTCTTTTCCAGGGCTCTCTCCTGATACAGGTACCTCTAAAGACAAGCAGCATTGACCTAGGGGAAGGACGGGCCAAATGACTCCCTTTCTACACTGAGTCATTTCCCTGATCATGTGGAGAGAGAAGAGTTAGGGTATGGACCCAGTTGTGATTTCCCACCAGTGTTGGACCCCAAAGCCAGTGGAAGAGAGGGAATGTGAGGACAGAATTCTCCCCAGGGGTCAAGGTGTCCATAACAGGCAGGGAAAATTGTGAAACTGTGAGAGAAGAAGGTGGAGTCTCCAGGAGTATGTTGTGAAGAAGTAGCGTTGGGAGGAGCAGCTACTCAGAGCAGCACCCACCCCTGTCAGAGGCCCACCTCCCAGACAGAAGCGAGTCTGGCCCAGGCAGTAGCTGCACATTGGATTGGTTTAAAGGGTCCATAGCCAGCAGGACTGAGTGCCCCCTCTGGGCCGAGCTCTGGGCTGGGTACCAGGAGTTCCAAGACAATGAAGGCCAAGCCCTGCCCTCACTGAGCTCAGTCACCAAGGAGAAATAGACATGTGACTAGCCAAGAAGATAGAGTTCTCATGGCCTCCTGGAGGGGGCAGCAGTTGTCTTTGCGTGGGTGGTGGGGGGAGTCCAACAGGCAGAACCACAAGATGTGAGAGGCAGTGAGGAGTGTGGTGTGAGCCAGGAGAGGGGCTTGGATATAGTGGCATGATGGTCAGGAACCTGCGGCCTCTCTGAGGAAGAGAATCCTGAAAGCAGTGCAGCGGTTAATCATTATTGTTACAAAAATACTACACACTTGTAAAAAAAAAATTCAAACAGTGCAGAAGTATAAAGGAAAAGCCTCCTGGGCACTGTTCCTTGGAAGTAACCCAATTAGCTGTTGGGTGTGTAACCTTTGAGAATTTTCTCTGTGTATATACAAACATTGTGTATGTGTCTGTGTATATAGACATATGTCAATTTATTTTTATAAAACTTGGATTATATAGTACATATTGTTCCTCAACTTGATATTTTTTTTCTTTAACAATTTGTTGGCCAGGTACAGTGGCTCATATCTGTAATCCCAGCACTTTGAGAGGTCAAGGTGGGCAGATCACTTGAGGTCAGGAGTTCAAAACCATCCTGGCCAACATGGTGAGACCCTGTCTATAGCAAAAATACAAAAATTAGCTTTGCATGGTGGGGCATGAGTGCAATCCCAGCTACTCAGGAGGCTGCGGCACGAGAATCACTTGAACCCAAGAGGCAGAGGTTGCAGTGAGCCGAGATTGCACCACTGCACTCCAGCCTGGGCGACAGAGTGAGACTCCATCTCAAAAATAATAATAATAATAATAATAATAATAATATGTTTTTGTTACTTATCATGTCAGTACATAGAGACCTAAAGTTAACCAGATGTGGTGGCATGCACCTGTAGTCCTAGCTACTCTGGAGGTTGAGGTGGGAGGATAACTTGAGCCAGGAGTTCAAGGCTGCAGTGAGCCCTGATTGTACCACTGGGTAACAGAGTGAGACCCTGTCTCAAAAAATACAGACATATATATATATATATATATATATATGTAGCTGTACCTCATCTTTTATGGTGGGGAGGATAGGTAGTATCATGCCCATGGTACAGAATTCAAAAGGTACAAAGGGGTGCACAATGATAGTCCCCCAGCCACCTCAAGCTGCCCCATTTGCCTCCTCAGAGGCAGCCCCTATTTGTGTGTTTCTTAGAGAAAAAAGTTTCTCATCCAGAGAGATTCTGTGTCTTTACAAATAAATAGGCATAATCTTTCCCCGGTTTTTGTTTTGTTTTGTTTTGTTTTGTTTTTTGAGACCGAGTCTCACTCTGTTGCCTAGGCTGGAGTGCAATGGCACGATGTCAGCTTACTGCACCCTCCACCTCCCAGGTTCAACGGCTTCTTCCACCTCTGCCCCCGAGTAGCTGGGATTGCAGGCACCCGCCATCATGCCTGGCTAATATTTGCATTTTTGTAGAGATGGAGTTTCACCATGTTGGCCAGTCTGGTCCTGAACTCCTGACCTCAGGTGATCCAGCCGCCTGTCTTCCAAAGTGCTGGAATTACAGGCATGAGCCACTGCACCCGGCCCTATTTTTGTTACAGAACTATTGTATATTATTATACACTATATATATAATATTATATATAGTACACTCTTTTTTGCACCTTGCTTTTTTCACCTAATATTTGTTGCAGATTCAATCCTGTCAGTACATAGGGTGTGTTCTTTAACAGCTGTATGATACCCCACGTGTACGCCAGTTTGCTTAGATCACTAGTTCTCTAGTGTCTGATCCCTGGGCCAGCAGCATCAGCATCACCCCAGAACTTGTTAGAAACGCACATTCTGAATCAGAAGTTCAAGGTGGCCACAACAATGTATGTTTTAACAAGCCCATCTGGTGATTCCGATGCATGCTCAAATTTAGAACCACCAATTTAGAGTCCTCCACTGGTCATTCAGGTTATTTCAGCCTTTTGCTATTACAAACCATGCTGAAATTAGTATCTTTATACATTTTTATTTCACACTTGTCTGTATATTTGTAGGATTTTTTTTTTTTTTTTTTTTTTTTTTTTTTTTTTTTTAAGATAGAGTCTCCCTCTGTCACCCAGGCTGGAGTGTAGTGGCACCATCTCAGCTCACTGCAACCTCTGCCTCCTGGATTCAAGCAATTTATCCACCTTAGCCTCTTGAGTAGCTGGGATTACAGGCACACACAACCACACCCAGCAAATTTTTGTATTTTTAGTACAGATGGGGTTTTGCCATGTTGCCCGGGCTGATCTCAAACTCTTGACCTCAGGTGATATGCCCACCTCAGCCT